CATGAATAGTAGTGCGAGTCAAAAACAAGTGTTAAAGCATTTAATATGTCTTCAAATATAAATAAACATCTCGTTGATATTTTCAGTAGTAAATGGTACCAATAACAGCACATTTGAGCAATGCAATTGTAGTGGATAAAATGGTCAATTTTTCCGTTCAGTACTGTTCGGATTATACGCTCCTCATCGGTTAAGAGTTTGGCCGAGAGTTGTTTCCTTTCTTTTCTAGCCTAGTGCTGTTCTTTTCTACTTTGCGCCGGTCAAACTGAAGGTCACATCGCTGCAGAAACTAAACGAAGTATACGTTGTCTTCATTCGTACATAGGTACAATAATTTTCTCTGAAGCCGCCCCTGGTGTTCTTTCAACAGCATTTAGTATCAAAAGGGCGATCTGCATATAGCATATATGTAGGTACCTAATAAGAGAGTATTAATTATATTTTATAAAGCTGTTTGTTGGTTTAATAATGCCTGACTTTATTACATGCAGTAACGAACGGGGGTGTTCATTTTCAGCAGACCTTGCTTCATTTTCGCCCTTCTTTGTATTGTCGCTTTCGTCGTTTTTACTCACCAATGTGGAATCTAATTGCTAGTCTGCGAGATAAACCGTATATACATACGTCGTAATCTTAAATGTCTAAAACAGTTACGGCATGAGTTAATTTATCGTTTTTGTTTAGAATTCTAGTATTATTAAATTCCTTCATTCTTTCGTACATTTCACTACAAACTACATCATATCATATTAAAAGATAACAAACCAAAAACCATTCAAATTTTGGTAATTGCCTGCTGTCTAGTTTAATAAATTCCCGAGATAAAAATGTGCAGTCTCTCAGAGTCTCTGAAAGGGAGACTCGAGTCTCCGTCTCTCATCGAGTCTCTCTGGTGTGGCTGAGAGAGACTGTCAAAAAAACTGTTTAGCGTCTCTGAACAAGAGACTCGAGTCGCTCATAGAGAGATCCTCATTTCGTATCCAATCTCTGAACGAGAGAATCTCTCAATAAGTGGTGTCTCGATAGACATGGTTAAAATTTTCTAAGTTCAACATATTCCAGAGATCCCAGTCTTTCTACGAGAGACTCGAGTCTCTCAATTTTTCACTTTTATTCATTCAGTCTCTCTGTGAGAGACTCGAATCTCTGAATTAACAATTTTATCGTTCGAGTCTCTCATACAGAGACAGTAAGAGATCCATAAAAACACCTAGGCAATAACTGAGAAACTGTGAGAGACGCTGAAAGACTCTGAGAGACTGGAGAGATATAGAAAATTTTTGTCTAGGGATTAACATCTTGTATACTTATTATATTATCAGGAACAAAGTGGACATTTTATTTATATCTACATAGAGCAACAATCAAAAAATTTTCAAATTTTTTTTAAAGATATTTCTATTATTTCACTTGTTACAAGTAATTTTTATTGGATATCCTTAATTTAAAAAAAGAAACAAAATTATAGTTATCTAACACATGTAGATAGAACAATTATCGTTTGAGATAGGACGCAGAACAGTGCATGTTAAATCTTTTTTCACTCATTTTCCCATAATTGTGAATCTACATTTTCAGCCCTAAAATGGTTGAAAATTGTGTAAGAAGTGCAGATTCATTCGTTAAATTGTTTGAGTGCAGTCGTTACACCCTTTTTCGTTCGTAACGAGGCCGGAATTTCGTTTGCCGTATATAAATGTATTTTCGAAAATTATGCGCTGTTTTCTTTATTACGCTTACGTAGCGTCGGTTTACGTTTTTCGCCGAGCGTGCTTGCCAATTGAATTGCTTACTGAAATTGAGATTTCGAGTGTTTTCCCTTTGCAAACCGGAAAAGAGAGCCCGCAATCAAAGCAAGCAATTTACAGGGGAACGATAAACAGTGTAAGATTTTATTTTACAAACGACGATACATATTTGCAATTCTCCCGAAACGGTTTGCGAAAATAAATAATCAAGTTTGATCTCTAATTTCTTCCTAAACGTTAAAAATTTATGAAGGCATACATACGTGACCCATACATATTGTACACAATACCACAAAACCAAACATGCTGCATTAAATCCTTAAAATATAACATAGATAATTTCATGACTCAGTAAAGTACAATAACCTTAATTTCTACAGAATTATTGCAATATCGCACCAATTGTTCAGCAGAAACTTAAGGTTGTTTATTTAATAGGCCTATGTGCCCAATTTTCTTTACATTTGTTAGGTCCGGCGTTTAATTCCATAACACAGATTTTTTGAAAATAAAACTGAAAGTTGTCCCAAACTAGCAACGACTTACCTTTTTATTTCTTTAGTTTTAAAATTAACAACAATCTTTTTTATTTTACGGATAGTTATTAACATGAAAGACAACTAATTAATAATGGGTTAACAGATTAATTGCAACAAGCTTCTGACCAATAGGTAGTATTAGTATCGATGATTTTACCCTTACCTTTGTCCTTATCTATTCTTCTAGTTTATGATAGTGCAATAATATTGTAATGTTCGTGGGTTTAACAAATTAACTTTTACAAAGAAAACTATTTATTTACATTAATTACTATTAAACTTAAAAACACTAACTTATTACTAAACTTAGGTAATTATTCTATTTATTTACACTACTGTTACTATTCACTGTTCTATTTATTTCACTTCTATCACTGTCAATTTATCTCTTGATTCACCTCTGCAACGGTCAATTTATTTCTACTCTACTTCGGCGATCGTCTCTTCCTTTTTATACTCCCTTGCCTCCTTTCGGGAACATTCTCCAGCCGTCCAGAGAAGTCTCGTTTTCTTTGAACGGTTTAATTGCTTTCCCGGAACGTAGGTACGACACACACGTTTACAGATACGGCGCACATGAAGAAAAGCGCCCGCGGGTAGTCGGCGAATCGATAAGCCGCTCACACACACGTATGCCAGATCGCACACAGTCACGCTCGTGGTCGCTACAATATTGTCTTCACAAACATTGTTGACCACTAGCATTTATTCGACCTACCGAAAATTTTATCCTTTATTAAAAGCAGATAGACGGGAGGTAACTCGTCATTTTCGAACAAGTTGATGTCGTTTGTACTTTAGGAATCATTATAATTAGCAACAAAATCTGTAGATGGCAACATATTGCCACTTTCTTGATTTTTAGATAATTGTTTACGTTTAAACTTCTCGACTGATCCTCCTATTTTACACATAAAGCGGCATGACCTAGAGCCTAGAGATTTAGACCATTGTTTAGCATTCGGGATGAAACCGGTTCAATTCCGGGTTTCTCTGCCCTGGTCCATGTTTTTCTGTGATTTCCTTGGATCACTTAGGCAAATTCTGGGGCAATAATATTCCACAGATAATCTAATCTTTCACTCCTATTCTATCTTCATTTCGTACGTCTCATTGTTTTCACCCTAACCACTCAAGAGGGCCTTCCACCCTTCCCTCCATCGTAATTCGGACCATCAACATTAGTAGTTGCTGAAAATGAAAACACTTAAAAAATTTCTTTGGTACTCCACATCTAGCACAGTAGTATAGTTGTTACAGTTGGGATGTTCAAAATTGACATAGTTTGCAATAAAACTGTCGCACTTACTTTCTTCTTTCAACTTACTAACTAGACTAGAGAGGTTGTTGACAGAACGCCTACTTTTACTTACGACGGGCGTCATAGAGAATATCGTATACATAGAAAAGAGATGTCAGGTGGGAATTGCAGCGGATACTTATAAAAAAAGGAATAGCAATTAATGTGTAACAGAACGAGATGCAGACAAGCAAAGTTTGAGCATGTTACCAGCATCGGATATTAAAGAAAGCTCAACATTCTCAATTTAGGAAAGCGTTTAAAGATATAACTCCAACCAGGCAGTGACAAAGCGGACCCTGGCCTTTTAAGCACCTATGCAACCCCTAACCGCTGCGCCGCGTACTATTATTCGGTTATTTCTTTTCAGTTTGTCGGTACTCCCCATGAAGCATATCCTAACTTTACAAGAGCGTGTTCAAAACACAGCAAATGACTACAGTCTCAAGTAGTAACAAGAAAGGAGATACGTCCATTCCCTTTTAATATTTATTGCGGACTTTGCCAATTTTAATCTTCCCAACACTAAAGATTATTACTTAGCATTCGGAGCGACGCTAATCCGACTCCGGTTTTTCAATGCTTTTCTTGGATTAATTAGGTAAATCATGGGACATGTAAGTTTCTAAAGGTAATTTTTAATTTTTCGTCTGCCTTATTTATTTCGTCCGTCTTAACTATCTTTCCCCAGTAATCGCATCTACCCCAAGCCGGGGTTAAATTTTCCGCAGCGACGACATATCTGCATTAAAATATCTGACAATAAAATAATCAACAGCAAATAACCGCGTAACAAAATAACTACATAACAAAACAACTGACGACAAAGTAACCGCTTAACAATATCGTAATCTAAGCCGGTGAACCAAGGGATTTGAAATTTCGTTGAAACATCCCTTTAGTAGGTACTCTATTATGTGAGTTTATTACCTTTCAGCAAGTAACTAACAAATGTAATTTAGTTAGAAACGTCTATTTATAGACACCTACTGATGGTCTGATTACTTACTCTTTCGAAATTATCCCGTGTTTTCTTAAGCTGAAATAAAAATGGCTACATTCACTTATCTTAATGATCTGATGCCGTGAGCGATAGATAAACAACTTAGTCCTGATTTTCTTTTCTGAATGTCCTTATTCGCATAAAAATATCTACAAAAACCTGGACAGATTAATTAAAGTAAAAGATAGACGTCTGATTCACAGGTAAAAAAATGTAAGTAAATTGATTCTTGAGAGATTCTTGATTAGTACTATGTACCCAAAATTAAAACTAAGCGAAAAGTGACTACTTGCGCTCAATAAATATTTTCCACTTGAAGAAAAAAGTAACAAGTTAATTATAGTTTCTGTTTTTGCTAAATTGTACTATGTTATTCGTTTATAGGTATTATAAAATCCCTTTTGTTTCAGAATTTTCATCACGCAGTGGTTAAGGCTTCTACAAATGCTTCAGTAAATGTAAGTGCATTCAAACGGTTTCAATATATCTTCTACACCTATTTCTGTGTATATGTTTCGTTTAACTAAATTACTACTGTTAAAGCAAGGCACACCATTTAGAGTAATCCGTACCCTTATTAGGGTTGCTACCCGATCTCCTTTCGGTTACACTGATACTGCCTTATTAGCACTTTGACCATGTGTCCTCTATTTAAAGAGAATAATCTCTTAGAAATTGTAGGGGGTATACGTGTAATCACACAAGTTAATACCTGTTTATATCAAGGTCTTTTTTAAATAATTTTGTGTACATCAGAATTTTGAAATGTTCGAAAATTACTGTTTTTGGGTGTTTTCAAGGTTCAATTTCGTTTTCAGAGAATTTTATTAACAAGGCCTATTCATGCTGTTGGAATGTATTATTTCTTTCTTCCGTTTCCTAGCATCAACTTGGCGTCATGCTGGTAAGAAGCCTTAAAACTTGAATCAATTGCATCTAGATATATCTCAACAAAGAATAATCCGATTTGAATGTTGAGAAACGGAAATTAATGGAGAAATTTATTCCGTTTGATTATGTTTTGTCGGTAAAATTACCTGAAATTAAAAGCGAACCTCAAAAATACCCAAAACACAACCACTTTCCCTGTGGTGTTGTGCCCGTAGCGCCGCAATTATTTTACGTGGCCGTAACGCCGCAACCATTTTGCGTGCCCGCAGCGCTCTGATATTAACAGGTAAAATTTGAACGTGCCCATAGCGCCGCGACAATTTAATAAATATGTAAGCTTATGTACATTAGCTTTAGCATTGTTTATGTTTTAGTTAACTTAATTCTATTATTAATCTGGACAACAAAACTGGTCTGTTTAAAGTTGTAGAAGTTAAAAGCTACGTCATAATTTGTAAAAGAAGATCGCATACGTTTTGACAGCTTCACCGAAAATCATAAGCAAAACCATTGTACACAGGCTTACATATTTATTGCATTGTGGCGACGCTACAGGCACGCTCAAATTTTACCTGCTAACGTCGCGGCGCTATGGGCACGCGAAATGGTCGTGGCGCTACGAGCACTGACTCTTTCCAGTTAAAGGTAAGAGTATCTCAAATTTTTGAAATTTAACAAGTGGGCCGTTGTTTTACGTACCAATAAGAAACGTTCTAGATTCAAATTAGTTCAAACTACCGTATGTTATTACTTTTACGTTTAATAATACACTGTTGAACGAAAATAATTTAAAGTTGAAACATTGAGAACGGAGACATCCAATTCGGCACTGTTTTACCTTCTAAATATCGAACATTGTCAAGGGTCACAGGGTAATTGCTGTTGTTCTTATTGTAGCTATTGTATATCATAATTTGGTTCTATAAATATGTAAGAAATCAATCTTAACTGACTTTAAATGGTTTAGCGTAAACATCCTTTGCAGCTTTTCTTTCAACGAAATTATTCACTACTTGCCGAGCTAAATTCCCTTCTTGTATGTGGTTATGTTTTAAATCACTTCTTACAACAACTTCAAAGTTTTCTGAACGAGTGTAAAGTTTTGCTCCACATCTGTAATTTTTTCTTGAACATCTCCACAAAATATCACCATTTCTCAACTCCTTTTCCGAAACAAAATTTAAATTGGTTTACAATCAACATATGTTTACCGTTTCCGCTTAAAACCACTTGAATTTCAATCGTTCTTTCACAGTGCAATTAGGAATCAAAATGAAGTACTAATGCAAATTGCAAAACACTAATTACTTTGTTCTTTATTGTTGCTGTATGTACTTGCCAACCTGTCCACAGTAAGGGGTGGTTAACTCCCTCCCCCGCCTCCTGAGACAAGGGCCCTTTGTTAAACAATGCATAAAAAGCGAAAAAATTTGTGAAGAACCATATTTTAGAATTAAACAAAATTAACTATTGTACCAATAACAATTATACAAATAGGTCTTTGTACAGAAAAACTTTCTTACATGCTTATGTCCGGTGAAATAGTTACTAAATTTAAGAGATCTTTATGTCTCTAACTGAACTTGGCACTTTTAGTGTTAAAATGTGTCTGACGTAACTAAATGTTTTGTCTAATTTCGGGTGTTTGACGGTTTATTTAGTTGAGTTCCACAGTGGTACAATTGATTTTCTTATTTTTACTTACACGCACCTCCACTGTTTCCTACCCTGAGCTAATCTTTGCATTTCCCCAAAACTAGAACAATCCACATCCTTAACTATTTGCGAACAGTAATCTAATGTAGGTCTACCTCTATACCTCTCTGACTAGACTTTCATGCCTATCCCACCAACCTACCTCCCCTATTTTTTATTGACTTCCATAGTGTCCTCTGTTCTCCTATTCTTTCTAATACCTCTCCATTTTTAACCTTCGCTATCCATAATATTTTCATCATTCGTCTGTATCACCATATTTCGAACGCTTCTTTTCCGCGCTCCAAAGAATCACCTTTAACAATCATTTTCGAATTTCTAAATTAACCGTTCGCGTCCATAGAAGTGATTAAAGGCGACTCGATCCTGCGTTATCCTACTACTCCTTCCGTCCTGACTTATCTGACTTCCTAGATACCTAAAATCGACCACTACTTCTAATTTTTGTTTAGGTACTATCTTTATATTCGCACTTTCTCTACTTTTTCTTCCCTTGCATACCAGTATTTTTGTTTTACTTTTATTTATTTTCATACAATACTGTCTTGTCATTGCCTCTCCCATTTTATTTAAAACTACCTTTAACCCCTCTTTGCTAGATGCTAATACTGCTATATCATCTACAAATCTAAGCATACTAATCTTTTGCCCTTATGTATCTATCCCTACAGTTGCACTGTCTTTAATGATATTGATGATGTCTTCTATGTATAAATTAAAAAGTAGCGATGACAGTATGTGCATCCCTGTCTGACTCTCTTCCTAATATTTAGGTTTACGTTGCAGCTCCAGCTCTATAACTGCCTGTTACTCTTTATACAAACTAAGTATCACTATTGTATCTCTGTAATTCGTCCCTACATTTGTAAGTATATTTAACATCTTGTCCCATTTAACATTGTCAAAGCTTTTTCTAAATCTACAAATCCTATGTACGCACTGTTTCCTTTTTTCTATCGTTTTCTCTATTGTTACCCGTAAAGCTAGAGTATATACGGAATCAAAGCTAATACTTATGGGGACAAAAAACAGTTTATCCCTAAACCAACACCAACGTTTCGTCTTATCTTGCAGAGGTTTTTTGAATGTAGACTTTTGGGACATGAAGAACGAATTATTGACTCAAAAGCTAACCTTGAAAATTCCTATATGCCATAAGGTGAAACGTTGTTTTCTCTCTGCCTTATATAGTAAACAGTAGTAAGTAATATATTTATAAACTTCACAAAAACTAATAACCGTTTAACAGAGATAAACGCATCATGTGTTTTACGCTTTAGTTTAAAACTTCGTTAAGGAACGAGTGCCGTAATGCTGATCATTCGCAAGAAGTTAGAAACTATCGTTGATAAGAGTATTAAGTATATAGAGTCGGGGTTGCTCACACTATAGTTTGACTTCTCCCTCGTCTACTAAAATTACAATTGGTTTTATTCACATAAAACTATTCTAGACTTGTACAAAGTTAGAACTTCTGAGCTGAACTTGTGTCCTCTAAAAACTAAACATTATTACGTAGCATTAATCTATGTATGTATACAGTACTTAGGTAAAGCGCTTGGTTAATTTTAAGTACAGCCTGAGCGACAATTATTTAACATTTAAGCCCACATGTGTAAATGACTAATAAATACTAACTAATCTATAAACTATAATAATAAATAAAACAAAATTTCTTTTTAATATTTCCATTTATTTAGTTTTGTTCTACAATTATTTCAGTTTTTTATGTCTTTACAATAACTTATTTTTCACTTGTGAAATAATCGAAAATTCGTTCAACACTGCAACTTAACGATAAACCCCATCTGTAGTACAATACTACATTTAGTGGAATTCAATATGTTCAATACTAAATCCACGGCGTTTATCATCTTCCTAATATTTGCTTCTCTACCTTGCTACCCCAGCTCTATAACTGCCTGTTGCTCTTTATACAAACAAAGGATCAATCTTCTATCTTTGTAACTCATCCCTACATTTTCAAGTATATTTAACATTTATTTCATGATGACATATTTTCGTTAGTTGGACCAAAGTTATAAACAAAACACGATATACTGATTCAGTGTATATCCTAAAAATATTAAGGATTTGACTAGGCATACATGTTTATGTTACTACAAAAATGACATCCATGTGCTACGTCTCATTCAATGGCAAAAGCACGGAGGTCATTAATTGCTTGAATGTAACTATCTGTACTTACAAGAAACGTTGGTGTGTTTAAAGCGAAACAAGATTAAAGATGCTTTTTTACTTTCACTAAAACCGCCAATTTTCCTCATGTTTGACGGGGCCTAGGTCATAGATTAATTAAGATTAATGGCTTATCTGTCCTGACACAAGAGCCAACCGACTGGGATGAAAGAAAAATAATTTTCTGTAGAGAAATTTCTTCGACGACTTGAAACGTTCGACTGAAATAAATGCTTCCAGAACAGATGTCTGAATTATGTTTCTCCGTTAGTAAGGGAGGTAATGCGAGCCAAAATACCTAAAGAAGAAGAAAAAAGAATAACCGAAAAGAAGTTGTTACTGTTAGTGACATTTGCAACAATAGTGCTATTATTCAGATGCTTTATTTTTAATAGCAAGAATTGTATCCATCATCCAAGTTCAGAACGTTTACAAAAAATCGCAGAAACAATTTTCCGACGGCAAATTAAAATCCTTGATTTCTGTATTATTAAACGTTGATTTCAATAAGAAATGCCTACTAACAAAAAAATATAAATTATATTTTGGTCGACCAGAATTTATGTTGTATCATAATTTTAAGCCTAGTAGGAACTTTGCGAGGACTTTATACGACTTTTAATCAATTTAGAAAAGACGTAAACTAAATTTG